TAAATAAAATATTGTACACACGCACCTGTTCTGAGAGGCCCAATGTGAGAATTGTGTCCCTATACATAACATGCGGGGCCAGCCCGGACAAGGGTACAATGGATACAGATTGTCAGATAGATCTGTATTGGGTGATGAAGAAGAAAGAGAGAGGGTATCAATAAGGGTCAGGATGACATGTTCCTGTACTGGAGTCTCTGCAACACCACTGAGCCAGGGGCACCACCAAGCAAGCAGCACCATGAAGATTGAGGAGCTATCCAAACAGGTCAGGGACAAATTTGTGGAGAAGTACAGATCAGAGTTGGGCTATTAATCACCTCCCGTCCATGGCCGTTCGAGAACGGCCGGACTTTAGCCTTATAGGAGCGGGAGGGCGTCTTAAGACGTCCTGCCCCTCCCCCCACTCAGCGCGCACACGAGTGGTGAACTTTTGGCAATGTAAACAGCCAGCGATGTCTGTAAAGCAAATATGTTGCGCTCGGTCTATGTGAACCAACTGCACACTAAAGTGTTAATAAACAAATCTGTGTAAAAATTACAACAATCCGTGTGAAAAAATTGATTCAAGTGGACAGCGATGTCTGTTTAGATTCAAGTGATCGGGCGTCTCTAAAGACGCCCGATCGCTTGCAGTAGCTGCAGGTGTGCCCCCACCCGTACGCCCCGCTGCTGCCGCGGGTCTCGAGATCAACATCATAGTTTGAGCCGACCTGTGACAATGAAACTGTCACACGTCAGCTCTATAGATCGGGAAGTGAGCGAACGAGGCACTGTGCCCGGTGCAGCTGGGACTGGCACAGCGACGCTGTCAGCGGAGATCAGTACACGATCTCCCTGTGATCTCTTCTCGGTCCCTGAATGCAGAAAGTGATGTGTATTACATCACTTCCTGCATTCAGTGTCACTCTCCAGGACAGAACACCGGTGAGAAGCTGGTGAAGCAGATCTGTGCTTCATCAGCTTCTCTGGAGGTTCCCTAGGTGACATCAAGGGTCTTGGAGACCCCTGATGTCTCCATAAAGAGGACCTCTTATGTGAATTGGCTATCACATAGGGGATTTCTTAGTCCCCTATGTGATGGTAATAAAATGAAGTGTAAAAAAAAATGAAAGCATAAAAAAAAGAAATAAAGAAGCTAAAAAATAATAGTCACAAAAAAAAGTAAGTAAATAAAAAAAAAATAATAATTAAGAAATGAAAAGAAAGTGGAACAGGTGTAATTGTGTCAAGAAAAAGACTAGACTAGTGAGAGAGGCTCTGAAGGACTTGCAGGCCTCTGTAAAGGAGATTAGAGAGACGGCTGGATGAAGGTTCTATGATGTGATGGGCCAAACACTGCACATAATCATAAACATACTATCCCTACTGTGAAACACGGTGGTGGCAGCGTCATGCTGCGAGGATGGAAGGCCATAGAAGTCTTAGGTTGTTAACACTTCAGTATGAAAGGATATGTTTTTGTTGATCATTGTAAAATAAATAAGTCCACTGTGATATAATATTCTCTGACAATAAAATATTTGAAACACTTTCAAGAGGGTGCATATTTTGTATAGAAACTATCCGTAGTCTACTAGGTTGGCTGGATAACATACCACACAACGTCCGCTGTGCATGCATCGTCATGGCAATAGGTGTTAGGCCTTGAACACATGGGTTTCGGCTCGTGTGTATAGTCTTTAAAGCACCCCTTAGCTCCAGCAAGCTTTGTGCACAGATGTGTAGAATGATGGCTTTCCATTGACAGCAAAGTGCTGCGGCAATAGGCTCTGGATCTGAGACCCGTTCAGACTACCATATACTTTTACATTGACTGCTAGCATTCCGCTTACTCGTATTAAAGGGTATCCAAACCTAAAAGAGAACTATTGGCTAACCTTTTTATCCCATAGTTCTCTTAAGGGTCACGGAAGGACATATTCTAACGTCCTCCCGTGATCCAAAGCTCATTATATAGCGAGCTATTGCTCACTATATACCGAGACAGCTGCAGCCGGGACGGATCCCGACAATGCTGTCGAGATCCACCCAGCTGCGTGAGTGGCAGCGGGCTCTGCCTATCTAGAGGCAGAACCTGCTGTACCCGCCACGTCCCCCATCCATTCCTCTACTCTGGAGGATCGGAGAGGGGAGGAGGGAAATCCCTGCGGGGAGCAGTGACTGACAGTCACGGCTCTCTGCAGGGAGTTGATCGGAAAGTGAGCGAGCGACTGTATGCGTTCGCTCACTTCCCGATCTATTGAGCCGACGTGTGACAGTTTCATTGTCACACGTCGGCTCGGACTATGAAAATCACTCACCTCACCTTCTCCTTTTTAATAACAAAAAATAATTGGAGCGTACAAGTCCGTAGTTGTGGCTCAATTAGTATTTTTCATTTGTTTTCCTTTATTTGCAATTCGTGATCCTGCCAGTGACAAACTTCCTCGCCTAGAGTGACAACGGTCATCCACTGTACTGTGTGCTCTGAGAAGCAGCATTGTCACCCTAGAACAGGAAGTGCGTTAGAACTAAAGAACACATCCCAGTCTCTTCAGCTCCATAGCATAAGGAGGTGCTTTGTAGTCCAACAGAGAACTCTGGCAACACTGCTTAGAATTTCATTACAGCAGAGACAGTGTTGCCTGGAAGCACACTGGGTTTCTCTCAGGATCAGCAGGTATTTTCTTCAGTATAAAAAGTCTACACATGGGAAAATGTGCATGTATTGGA